AGATATAATTCACATACCATAAAATTTACCCTTTAGAATATACAATTCAGTGGTTTGTCCTATAGTCACAGAATTATGCAAGTATCAATGCTGTCTCATTTCAGAATATTTTTGTCACCTCAGAAAGCTTACACCCGTTAGCAGTCATTCCCATTTGTTCTTACCCCAGATCCTGAAAACCTTTAATGCACTTTCTGCTTCTGTGAATCTACCTGTTATTGTGACTGCCTTCTTTCACTTTGCATAATGTTCTCAGGGTTCATCTATGTTGTAGGATGTATCAATACTTCATTCCTTTTTATTTCCAAATAATTTTACATTTTATGAAGGTACTGTACTTTGTTTATCCATTATCAGTTGTTTCTACTTTTTGGCTGTTATAAACAACACAACTATGACCATTCATACACAGATTTTTGTGCAACATATATTTTCAGTTCTGTTTGGTATGTACTTAAGAGTAAATTCCTGGTCCACAAAGTAACTCTGTGTTTAACTTTTTAAGCAACTGCCAAACTTTTCCATAGGGGCTGTACCATTTTACAATCCCATCAGCCATGTACAAGGATTCTGATTTTTTCTGCATTCTCACGAACACTTGTTTTCATATCTCTTTTATTATAATCTTCATAGGAAGAATGCAGCGATATCTCAAGATGATTTTCTTTTCTTTTTCTGAATGACTCATAATGGCAAACAGTTTTTCAGCTGCTTATAGTGCATTAATATATATTTGGAGAAATCTGTATTCAAATCCTTTGCCCATCCTGAAATTGAGTTGTCTTTTGTTGTTGACTGTTTAAGTTCTTTCTGTATTCTGGGTATGAACAACATATTGGATATATGATTTGCAAATATTTTTTCTCATTTCATAGATGCAGTAGTATTTTTACTTATTTTAAAATTAGGGAGATTTCCTTTGATCCTAAAAAATTTCATTATTGTGATTATTGAATTCTTTAGAAGTTAACTTTTACCACAGTAATGTAGCAAAATGGCTGTCTGAGGATGCCTTACAAATAGCTGTGAAAAGAAGGGAAGCAAAAAGCAAAGGAGAAAAGGAAAGATATACTCATTCAAATGCAGTGTTCCAAAGAATAGCAAGGAGAGGTAAGAAAGCCTTCCTCAGTGATCAATGCAAAGAAATAGAGGAAAACAATAGAATGGGAAAGACTAGAGACCTCTTCAAGAAAATTAGAGATACCAAGGGAACATTTCATGCAGAGATGGGCTTGATAAAGGACAGAAATGGTATGGGCCTAACAGAAGCAGAAGATATTAAGAAGAGGTGGCAAGAATACTCAGAAGAACTGTACAAAAAAGATCTTCATGACCCAGATAATCACAGTGGTGTGATCACTTCACCTAGAGCCAGACATCCTGGAATGTGAAGTCAACTGGGCCTTAGGAAGCATCACTACAAACAAAGCTAGTGGAGGTGGTAGAATTCCAGTTGAGCTATTTCACATCCTGAAAGATGATGCTGTGAACGTGCTGCACTCAATATGCCAGCAAATTTGGAAAACTGAGCAGTGGCCACAGGACTGGAAAAGGTCCGTTTTCATCCTAATCCCAAAGAAAGGCAATGCCAAAGAATGCTCAAACTACCACACAGTTGCACTCATCTCACACGCTAGTAAAGTCATGCTCAAAATTCTCCAAGCCAGGCTTCAGCAATACGTGAACCATGAGCTTCCAGATGTTCAAGCTGGTTTTAGAAAAGGCATAGGAACCAGAGATCAAATTGCCAACATCTGCTGGATCATCGAAAAAGCAAGAGAGTTCCAGGAAAACATCTATTTCTGCTGTATTGACTATGCCAAAGCCTTTGACTGTGTGGATCAAAATAAACTGTGGAAAATTCTGAAAGAGATGGGAATACCAGACCACCTGACCTGCCTCTTGAGAAACCTGTATGCAGGTCAGGAAGCAACAGTTAGAACTGGACATGGAACAATAGACTGATTCCAAACAGGAAAATGAGTACGTCAAAGCTATATATTGTCACCCTGCTAATTTAACTTATATGCAGAGTACATCATGAGAAACGCTGGGCTGGAGGAAGCACAAGCTGGAATCAAGATTGCCGGGAGAAATATCAATAACCTCAGATATGCAGATGACACCACCCTTATGGATGAAAGTGAAGAACTACAAAGCATCTTGATGAAAGTGAAAGAGGAGAGTGAAGAAGTTAGCTTAAAGCTCAACATTCAGAAAACTAAGATCATGGCATGAAATAGATGGGGAAACAGTGGAAACAGTGTCAGACTTTATTTTTTGGGGGCTCCAAAATCACTGCAGATGGTGATTGCAGCCATGAAATTAAAAGATGCTTACTCCTTGGAAGGAAAGTTATGACCAACCTAGACAACATATTAAAAAGCAGAGACATTGCTCTGCCAACAAAGGTCCGTCTAGTCAAGGCTATGGTTTTTCCAGTGGTCATGTATGGATGTGAGAGTTGTACTATAAAGAAACCTGAGCGCCAAAGAATTGATGCTTTTGAACTGTGGTGTTGGAGAAGACTCTTGAGAGTCCCTTGGACTGCAAGGAGATCCAACCAGTCCATCCTAAAGGAGATCAGTCCTGGGTGTTCACTGGAAGGACTGATGCTGAAGCTGAAACTCCAGTACTTTGGCCACCTCATGTGAAGAGCTGACTCATTGGAAAAGACCCTGATGCTGGGAGGGATTGAGGTCAGGAGGAGAAGGGGACAACAGAGGATGAGTTGGTTGGATGGCATCACTGACACAATGGACATGGGTTTGTATGGACTTCGGGAGTTGGTGAGGGGTAGGGAGGCCTGGCGTGTTGTGGTTCATTGGGTCACAAAGAGTTGGACACGACTGAACGACTGAACCGAAGTGATTGAATGTGTGAACATAGTTTAAAAGTCAGTGTTGTGGAGTGATTGTCCTCCAATTAAATAAAATAAATAAAATTTTTAAAAAATCAAGAAAAGCATCATCTGCCCCACTTTCAATTTTTACTTTTCAGTGGCTCTTTTAACTCTTGTAATGGTTTCTCTGATAATTAACCCAAATTTTCTAAATAACATGTAGATTCAGCTACTTTTTAGTTTTCAATTTTTGATATTCTCTATTGAATTCCAGTTAAGTATGGTGAAGATTCAGCTCCTTTACACACACACTTTCTCTCTTTCACAAACACACACACACACACTCCCTCTCTTTCCCTCTCTGTCCCTCCCTCTCTGTTTCGTTTTCCTCCCTGTCTTCTTTCCCTTTCTTCACGCTCCATTTTTTCAGCATAATTATATTAATATTCACTGTACATGTCATCATATTATATGTTATCATAGTTCATGATAGTAAAATCATGTAAGTTGCTTGATTAAATTTTAATATGATTCTAGTTTTCCTATGAGGTAATAATTACTTGTATGTGTGTGTGTTTCCCCATTTGGTTAGTTTTCTATTTATCTATAAACCTAGCTATCATTGTTTAGGTACCCTAGCCAGAGGTAGCCTTGGAGTTGTCTTATGGTTCAGTAGATAGAATTTCATTCAGTCCTTTTATTTTTACTACAGTGCCTTATCGTCAAGAGTTCAGAAATTACGTAGCTTACGAAGTAAATTGCCAATTGTCTGCCAGTGTTGGAGAGGAATAGTAGCTTTCATGTAAGGTGTTTCTCAGGAAACTTGATTTTTTTTTTTTAAAGAACAATTTAGTACTTGTCTTTTGTTAATAATTTGTACTGTTGAATTATTCAAGTTCATGTTATCTTTTTTTGTTGTTCTTTATTTTTGAAAAATATTTTTGCAAGGATCTATTGTATAGCACGTGGAACTCTGGTCAATTTTATGTGCCAGCCTGAATGGGAGGGGTATTTGGGGGGAGAATGGAGACACGTGTATGTATGGCTGAGTCCCTTTGCTGGTCACCTGAAACTACCATGATGTTGTTAATCAGCTATACCCCAATACAAAATAAAAAGTTTAAAGTCTGGAAAAATAAAAGTAAAAAAAATTTTTTTTATCATTTAATGTTTTGTTCAGTGGAGACTAATTTTACTTTTATAAATGTGTATTATTTCACAATATATCTGGATATTGAAATTTTGTCTTATTTATCCCATTTCCCAATTTTATTTTCATTGATTGTATCGCATCACTCAATTGCTTAGACATGTCCAACTCTTTGCAACCCCAGGGATTGTAGCCCACCAGGCTCCTCTGCCCATGGAATTTTCCAGGCAAGAACACCTCAGTGGGATGCCATTTCCTACTCCAGGGAATCTTCCTGACTCAGGGATCAAACCTGAGTCTCTTGTGTCTTCTGTATTAGCAGGCGGGTCTTTACTGCTAGGCTCACTGGGATGTCTTATTTATCCTATTTCCCCATTTTATTTTCATTGAACACAGATTTTATTGTCAGACATCAGAGTTGTCACCAGTATCTTTTACTGCTTCAATTGAAGCGACTTAGCAGCAGCAGCATTCGGATTTTTCTCTTTCACAGTGTGGGGAATTTATCTTAATGTCCACACTTCTGTCTTCATTTAAACTTATAAACCATATAAAAATTAATGAGCCAGTTAGCATACATTTTGTATTTAGCATGTATTCTTTTTTTGATTTTTAAAAAAAATTTTACGTAGTCATGATTCTTAGCATAGGCATAGTCCCTGGAGGTAATTCAGGGATTTAGGTGGCCAATCAGATTTTTAAGTTTTTTAGAAACCATTTTGTACATATTTATTTAGCCCGTTGCTTTTGAAGGGCACTGAATAAAACTAATTGCTTGAACAAGTAATGAACCTTGTAAATGTGTTACTTCTTATTTAAATGTCTTTGAAGAGGATTTGAGAATATATGGGAATTCAGAATACATTGTTACCACTTGCATATTAATGTTTGACTAAAATTTCAATTATATTTCATTTGGGTTTTATTAATAGTTTTAAGAATTTTCCTTTTCCTCTCTTTTCCCTCCCCCACCCCTCACCAGTACACTTAATTGGTAATTTCTTACAGGGACATTTTTCTGCTGTCCTTCAAAGAGAAGAAAAAGTCCCATCAATTCATGGTAAAGAGGAGGCAAGAGAAATACCTGTTATTAGTGCTTCAACTCAAATAATGCTCAAAGGACTTTTTATGGTGCTTGACTATCTTTTTAGGCAAAATAGCAGGTAAGTAAAGATATCTGGTCTGTATTCTTCCTCTTAAAAATATTAGTGTTACTGGGTGCTAGCTACTAATTTTATGTGAGTACATGGGATAATGATAAACAAATGATATAAATATTGCTCTTACTGGCACTGACTCAGTCAACTGATGTTAGTTTTTGTTAATGAAAATGAGTATTGAAACGAGTAAATAAATACATTTAATTAATTCAGCATTAAATTTACAATCCTCTAAGACTAAATTTAAGTCTTCTTTTAAGTATAATTTATATATGTTTCTTCCAGTGTTAGAAAGTCTTATTGTAAAGACTTATTGTAAATCCTCTGTTTAATAAAATGTGAAAGCAGTCAACTTCCCACACACTACTCCTTAAGTTATAGTACAACCTGGCTCCAATTTTTTTTAAGTGTTTTTTTTTTTTTTTAATGGCAAAATATGCTGGAGGCTCAGATGGTGAAGAATATGCCTTCAGTGTGGGAGACCTGGGTTTTGTCTCTGGGTCGGGGAGATCCCCTGGAGAAGGGCATGGCAACCCACTCTAGTGTTCTTGCCTGGAGAATTCCATGGACAGAGGCACCTGGTGGACTACAGTCAATGGGGTCGCAAAGAGTCAGAGACAACTGAGCGACTGACACACAGACACACACAGATGACTGAGCGACTCACACACACACACACACACACACACACACGTAATATAGGGCTCCCTAGGTGGTGCCAGTGGTAAGAACCCCCCTGCCAATGCAGGAGATGTAAGAGACATAAGTTCAACCCCTGGGTCGGGAAGATCCCCTGGAGGAGTGCATGGCAACCTACTCCAATATTCTTGCCTGGAGAATCCCATGGACAGAGTAGCCTGGTGGGCTACAGACCATGGAGTTGGACATGACTGAGGCAACTTAGTATGCATCCACATATACATAATGTAAAACTGAACAGTTTAAACATTCTAAGTGTACATTTTAATAGCATTAACTGTGGTCACATGGTTGTGCACCTATCACCACTGTCAATTTCCAGAACTTTTTCATAATCCCAAATAAGAACTCTATACCCATGAAACAGTATCTTCCATTTCTCTACCACCATAACCTTTGGTAACCTCTGTCCTACTTTCACCTCTATGGCTTTGCCCTTTTTGGTGTCTCCTGTACATGGAATCATGTAGTATAATGTTTTTAAAGTTAATGCATGTTATAACATACATCATTCTTTTTATGGCTGAATGATATCCTATTAGGGAAACCAATCAATATTACAGTAATCCAAGACTGTGCCCCAACCAGTAATGCTGAAGAAGCTGAACAGTTCTGTGAAGACCTACAAGACGTTTTAGAACTAACACCCAAAAAAGATGTCCTTTTCATTATAGGGGACTGGAATGCAAAAGTAGGAAGTCAAGAGACACCTGGAGTAACAGGGAAATTTGGCCTTGGAGTACAGAATGAAGCAGGGCAAAGGCTAATAGAGTTTTGCCAAGAGAACACACTGGTCATAGCAAACACCCTCTTCCAACAACACAAGAGAAGACTCTACACATGGACATCACCAGATGGTCAGCACCAAAATCAGATTGATTATATTCTTTGCAGCCAAAGTTGGAGAAGCTGTATACAGTCAGCAAAAAACAAGACTGGGAGCTGACTGTGGCTCAGATCATGAACTCCTTATTGCCAAATTCAGACTTAAATTGAAGAAAGTAGGGAAAACCACTAGACCATTGAGGTATGACCTAAATCAAATCCCTTATGATTATACACTGGAAGTGAGAAATAGATTCAAGGGACTAGATCTGATAGAGTGCCCGATGAACTATGGATGGAGGTTTGTGACATTGTACAGGAGACAAGGATCAAGACCATCCCCATGAAAAAGAAATGCAAAAAGCAAAATGGCTGTCTGAGGATGCCTTACAAATAGCTGTGAAAAGAGGGGAAGCAAAAAGCAAAGGAGAAAAGGAAAGATATTCCTGTTGGAATGCAGAGTTCCAAAGAATAGCAAGGAGAGATAAGAAAGCCTTCCTCAGTGATCAATGCAAAGAAATGGAGGAAAACAATAGAATGGGAAAGACTAGAGATCTCTTCAAGAAAATTAGAGATACCAAGGGAACATGTCATGCAAAGATGGGCTTGATAAAGGACAGAAATGGTATGGGCCTAACAGAAGCAGAAGATATTAAGAAGAGGTGACAAGAATACTCAGAACTGTACAAAAAAGATCTTCACGACTTAGATAATCATGATGGTGTGATCACTCACCTAGAGCCAGACATCCTGGAATGTGAAGTCAACTGGGCCTTAGGAAGCATCACTACGAACAAAGCTAGTGGAGGTGGTAGAATTCCAGTTGAGCTATTTCAAACCCTGAAAGATGATGCTGTGAACGTGCTGCACTCAATATGCCAGCAAATTTGGAAAACTGAGCAGTGGCCACAGGACTGGAAAAGGTCCGTTTTCATCCTAATCCCAAAGAAAGGCAATGCCAAAGAATGCTCAAACTACCACACAGTTGCACTCATCTCACACGCTAGTAAAGTCATGCTCAAAATTCTCCAAGCCAGGCTTCAGCAATACGTGAACCATGAGCTTCCAGATGTTCAAGCTGGTTTTAGAAAAGGCATAGGAACCAGAGATCAAATTGCCAACATCTGCTGGATCATCGAAAAAGCAAGAGAGTTCCAGGAAAACATCTATTTCTGCTGTATTGACTATGCCAAAGCCTTTGACTGTGTGGATCAAAATAAACTGTGGAAAATTCTGAAAGAGATGGGAATACCAGACCACCTGACCTGCCTCTTGAGAAACCTGTATGCAGGTCAGGAAGCAACAGTTAGAACTGGACATGGAACAATAGACTGATTCCAAACAGGAAAATGAGTACGTCAAAGCTATATATTGTCACCCTGCTAATTTAACTTATATGCAGAGTACATCATGAGAAACGCTGGGCTGGAGGAAGCACAAGCTGGAATCAAGATTGCCGGGAGAAATATCAATAACCTCAGATATGCAGATAACGCCACCCTTATGGAAGAAAGTGAAGAGGAACTACAAAGCCTCTTGATGAAAGTGAAAGTGGAGAGTGAAAAAGTTGGCTTAAAGCTCAACATTCAGAAAACTAAGATCATATCATCTGGTCCCATCACTTCATGGGAAATAGATGGGGAAACATTGGAAACAGTGTCAGACTTTATTTTTTGGGGCTCCAAAATCACCACAGATGGTGATTGCAGCCATGAAATTAAAAGACACTTACTCCTGGAAGGAAAGTTATGACCAACCTAGATAGCATGTTTAAAAGCAGAGACATTACTTTGCCAACAATGATCCAGCTAGTCAAGGCTGTTTTTCCAGTGGTCATGTATGAATGTGAGAATTGGACTGTGATGAAAGCTGAGCACTGAAGAATTGATGCTTTTGAACTGTAGTGTTGGAGAAGACTCTTGAGAGTCCCTTGGACTGCAAGGAGATCCAACCAGTCCATCCTGAAGGAGATCAGTCCTGGGTGTTCATTGGAAGGACTGATGCTGAAGCTGAAGCTCCAATACTTAGGCCATCTGATGCAAAGAATTGACTCATTGGAAAAGACCCTGATGCTGGGAGGGATTGGGGGAAGGAGGAGAAGGGGACGACAGAGGATGAGATGGTTGGATGGCATCACCAACTCGATGGACATGGGTTTGAGTAAATTCCGGGAGCTGCTGATAGAGAGGGAGGCCTGGTGTGCTGCCATTCATGGGGTCGCAAAGAGTCGGACATGGCTGAGCACCTGAACTGAACTGAACTGGATATTCTGTTGTGTTTATACACCATATTTTGCTTATCTATTTTTATATTGATGGGCATTTGTATTGTTTCCACTTTTTGCCTATTGTGAGTCATGCTGTAATGAACATTGATGTACTAGTATTTGTTTTGAGTCCCTGTTTTCATATCTGGGTACATACCTAGCAGTAGAATTGCCGGATTATATGGTTATTCTGATTTAACTTTTTTGAGAACCACCGTACTATTTTTCATAGCAGCTGCACTTTCTAGGTTCACATAATTATGCACAGGAGTTCCCAATTTCTCTATACCCTTGCCAGTACTTGTTATTTTCTGGGTTGTTTTTTTTTTTTGGATAATAGCTATCTTAATGAGTATAAAGGGTTTTGATTCACACTTCACTAATGACTAGAGATGTTGATCATCTTTTCATGAGCTTATTGTCCATTTCTATATCTTCATTGGAGTAGTGTCTGCTCAGGTCCTTCATCCATTTTTGAATGGGGATTTTTTTGTTTTTTGAGTTGTAAGAGTTATTCTGCATATTAATTCTGTTTCAGATATATACTTTATTAATATTTTTTCCTATTCTATGTGTTGTCTTTTCATTCTCTTGATAGTATTCTTTGATGCACAAAAGTGTGTAAATATTAATGAAATACAATCTATTGACTTCTTTTTCTTTTGTTGCTTATGCTTTTTGTATCCAGTTAACAATGGCCAAATATGATGTCATCAAGATTTCTGCTATGTTTTCTTCTAAGAGAGTTTTGTAATTTTTAGCTCCCAGGAATTTTTTTTTTGACCATGCCCCCATGGCATGTAGGATTCGTATTCCCTGACCAGGGAACAAACTCATGTCCCCTGCATTGGAAGCTCAGAATCTTAATCACTGGACCACCAGGGAAGGTCCACCCCCCCCGCCCCGCCCCCCGCCCCTGCCCCGCACTAGTATTTTTATAAAATTCTCTCCACCTAGTGCAAGGTTCCTGACTTGGACTTTCTCTCTGAAGGTAAAATTAACAGTCAGTATTATTCTGAGGACATGGTAGAGAATACCAAATTTTATTCTGTTTAAGCTTAGATTTATAGCCTCTTATGGAGAGAATTTATAAGCTGTATCAGAAGACTGAGATCACATTTTAAAACTCAGTTTCCTAAACTTTCAGTAAAAATTGTCTTTCTGTTTTCTAATGCAATAAAAAAGCTTAACCCACTGTTTAGGTTTTTTTTTTAAACAATAATACTGTTAACTAATTTATAACTAATGATGTAACATAGAATGCAAAGAACTCTGAAGTAGGAGTTAGGAGGCTTGGATTTTAATCCTGGCTTTGCTGTGATTTATGTAATGTCTGAACATAGGGATGAGCAGTGATAAAGTGTAGATGGTTAGATGATGCATCAACTCTGTAAGGGTGGATTCACCCTAAGGTATAATGATTTACTTTCTGTCAGAATTGCTGAGTTTAGTGGTATGAGTTGTTGGTGTGGGACAGTGTTATCTAAAGTTTTGCCATTTAAATGCCATTTTATTTTCATTTAGATTTGCAGATGATTATAAAGTCGCTATTCAACAGACTTACTCTTGGATAAATCAGACTGATACTACAGATAAAAATGGATTCTTGATTGTATCAAAAAATAAGAAACGTTCACGGCAGAAAGCAGCAGTTCGTGTGCTAAATTTTTGGTGCTTAAATCCAGCTGTGGTAAGCTTATCATGCTGTAAAAAAGAATTCTTCTTGCTCAGTACCAACAATTAAGTAAATTTGTTTGACTTTTTAAAAAATGATTTTATGTATTTAATGTTGTTTCCTTGTAGGCCTTTTCAGATATTAATGGCAAGGTTTGGACAATTGTTTTGACATCTGGGACATTATCACCAATGAAATCCTTTTCATCAGAACTTGGTGTTACATTTACTATTCAATTAGAGGCTAATCATGTCATTAATAACTCACAGGTTGGTTTCTTTTTTTTTTTTTAATCTCTCTTAGTCTTTTTACCTCAGTATAATTGTCTATAAACAAGTTAAAAGGTAATTGAAGGACTAGCAAACAAACCCTGATAGAAAAGTCAACATTTCAGTTTTAGAATAAAAGAAAATTTGTCAGCTACTTAGTAGTGGCAGAAAAGGAACTACTGATAAATAGTATTCCTTCAACCCAGTGAGTAAAAATATATACTTTGCTTACAAAGACTGTATTGCAGTTTCCTTATTTAATTAAGTTTAAAATTTTTTAATAAAAATTAAAAAGGAAACTAATTCACCCCTTTTTTTTAACTGTAATTTCTAATTGTGTAATTATTTGTGATTCTTTTTTCCATTAGACTATAGTGTGTCTGTATTCTAATTTTTATGTCTTTATCTTTACACTGTACCTAGATTAATAGCTGGTATTAGTTAATAAGTGTTCAGCACATGTTTGAATATCTGAAATGAATTGAAAGTATTCTTGTGAGTCCTGTGGCACAGATTTTAATTTTTTATAACAATAACCTGTAAAAAAAAAATACCCTGTAGATGTTACTTAAATTTTCCTAAGGATGTTTCAATTTTCATTTGTCAGTCTGCCCTCTATTTCTTTTTATTAAGTAATTGAAAGTAGTTAGCTACATGCATAATGGTATGGCCATAACAGAAGCAGAAGATATTTAGAGAAGAGGTGGCACGAATACACAGAAGAACTGTACAAAAAAAGATCCTAATGACCTGGATAATCATGATGGTGTGATCACTCACTTAGAGCCAGACATCCTGGAATGTGAAGTCAGGTGGGCCTTAGAAAGCATCACTGTGACCAAAGCTAGTGGAGGTGATGGAATTCCAGCTGAGCTATTTCAGATCCTAAAAGGTGATGCTATTAAAGTGCTGCCCTCAGAATGCCAGCAAATTTGGAAAACTCAGCAGTGGCCACAGGACTGGAAAAGATCAGTTTTCATTCCAATCCCAAAGAAGGACAATGCCAAAGAATGTTAAACTACCACACAATTGCACTCATCTCACACACTAACAAGGTAATGCTCAAAATCTTTCAAGCTAGGCTTCAACAGTACATGAACTGAGAACTTCCAGATGCTCAAGCTTGATTTAGAAAAGACAGAGGAACCAGAGGTCAAATTGCTAACATCCACTGGATCATAGAAAAAGCAAGAGAATTCCAGAAAACATCTGCTTCATTGACTACGTTGAAGCCTTTGTTTGGATCACAACAAACTGTGGAAAATTCTGAAAGAGATGGGAATACCAGGCTGCTTTACCTGCCTCCTGAGAAATCTATATGCAGGTCAAGAAGCAACACTTAGAACCAGATGTGGAACAACAGACTGGTTCAGAATTGGGAAAGAGAGTATGTCAAGACTGTATATTGTCACCATGCTTATTTAACTTATATGCAGGGTACATCATGTGAAATCCCAGGCTGGATGAATCACAAGCTGAAATCAAGATTGCTGGGAGAAGTATCAGTAGACTCAGATACGCAGATGACACCACCCTTATGGCCGAAAGCAGAGAAACTAAAGAGTCTTGAAGGTGAAAGAGGAGAGTGAAAAAGCTGGGTTAAAACTCAACATTCAGAAAATGAAGACCATGGCATCCGGCCCCATTACTTTATGGCAAATAGATGGGGAAACAATGGAAACAGTGAGAGACTTTGTTTTCTTGGGCTCCAAAATCACTGCAGATGGTGACTGCTGCCATGAAATTTAAAGACGCCTGCTCCTTGGAAGAAAAACAATGACAAACCTAGACAGCATATTAAATAGCAGAGACATTACTTTGCCCACAAAGTTCCCTATAGTCACAGCTATGCTTTTTCCATTAATCATGTATGGATGGATATATGTGTGGATACATGTATGGGTATGAGAGCTGGACCATAAAGAAGGCTGAGGGCCTTCAGAGAACTGATGCTTTTCGACTGTGGTTTTGGAGAAGACTCTTGAGATTCCTTGAACTGCAGGGAGATCAAACCAGTCCATCCTAAAGGAAATCAGTCCTGAATATTCATTGGGAAGACTGATGCTGAAGCTCCAATACTTTGGTGATCTGATGTGAAAAGCTAACTCATTTGAAAAGACCCTGATGCTGGGAGAGATTGAAGTCAGGAGAAGAAGGTGATGACAGAAGATGAGGTGGTTGAGTGTCATCACCGACTCAATGGACATGAGTTTGAGCAAACTCTGGGATATGGTGAAGGACAGGGAACCCTGGCGTGCAGTAGTCCATGGGGTCACAAAGAATCAGACACAACCGAGCAACTGAATAGCAACAACAGCAATATGTTTATTAGTACTTGAGCACCTGATTCAATTGTAGTTCTTTAAAAGAGCCATAAAACAGCTATAGTTTCCAACCAAGGATTATTTGTGGGAATTACTGGCATTTAGTAGGTGAGGGTCTTGAATGCTAGACTCCTATGTAACAATGAATTGTGGTTTCCAAAATGCTAGAGTGCTCTTGTTTAGAAACATTGCTATTAGCAGTAGCAAAAGAAAAATATATGATCCACATTTTCAAATTGTTTTCTTTGGAGGCTCACATAAATATGGAAGTTATTAATAAATTGAACATATTTTTCCACAAGAATGTTATTATAGGGTCTTTGTTCTCAATCGTGTGCACAAAAGTCCATTTAATTTATAATATTACTAGGTAATGATAATTAGTAAGAATAATGCTAGTTCAGCTGGATTCTGTTATAATATTTCCCCCAGCTTTTAAAAACTTTAATTTTAATTGTAGTAGAAAACACATTGTAAAGTTTACCATGTTAACTGTTTTTAAGTGTACAGTTCGGTTTTATAAGGATATTCATATTGTTGTGTAACCAATATCTAGAGTTTTTTCATCTAACAACACTGAAATCCTATTATAAAATAACAATTCTCAATTCCCCCCTTCTCCCAGCCCCTGGTGACCTCCATTCTACTTTTTGTTTTTATGAATTTGACTATTCTAAATAAATCATCTAAATGGAATTACAAAACTTTGTGATTAGTTTTTTTTGCTTAGAATGATGTCTTCAGAGTTCATCTTTGTTGTAACATGAATCAGAATTTCTTCCTTATTAAGGCTGAATAATATTTGAATTGTGTGTGTGTATCACATTTTGCTTGTCCATTTGTTTGTTGATTTCCCCAACTCTTTATTTAAAAAAGTATAGCTTAAAAAAAAAAGTATAGCTTGAAAAAAGTGGAAAAAATAGTATTAACATAGTGAATATCTTTATACCCTTAATCTAGATCCATCAGTTGTATAACTTTGTATCTTTGTATATATACATATGAGAGATAAGAAGAGGAGAGTAATTCTACAAAATATTGATGATTACATTAACTGGATATGTTATTAGAAAGTAATTTTAGACATTGTGATTCTTTGCCCTTAATTAGTTTAGAATGTTTATCCTGAGAACAGGTACATAATCTTGTGTAATCACAATATCATGATCATACCCAAGCAATTTAATATTACTACAAATAGAATCTATATTCTTCCAGTTATTTCCAGTATGACTTTAATAGTATACCTGTTTATTTTTTTTTTAATTCTTGATCCAGCATCCAGTTAAGTATTATATATTGCATGTGGTTTTCATGTTTCTTTAGTTTTGTTTTTCTTTTTTTTTTCTTTCTTATTTTAGATTGAATTATAATTGATTTACAATATTAGTTTCTGGTGTCCAACATAATGATTCAAAATTTTTATAGATACTCCATTTGGTGTTATTATGAAATATTAGCTGTTATCCTTGTGCTGTACAATATATCCTTGTAGCTTATTTATTTTTATACACAGTAGTTTATACCTCTTAATCGCTGACCCCTATCTTGGATTTTTGCCTTCTGGAGTAACCGCTAGTATGTCCTCTCTATTTGTGAGCCTTTCTGTTTTGTTATATTGATTCATTTGTTTTAGTTTCCACATGTAAGTAGTAACATACCTTATTTTTCTGTCTCTGTCTGACTTATTTCACTTAGCCTAATACCTTGTAAGTCCATCTGTGTTGTTGCAGTTGACCAAATGTCATTCTTTTTTTATGTACCTGTATAAATGTAGAGAAATTGTATGTAACTAAAATTTGATGGGTCTGATTTTCTATGACTGTAGATCTTTGAGCATCAGGGAATTTGTGAAACAGTAGTTTCTGTCATAAGTGAATCTTAGAGACTTACCTATAGCAGATGGTGTGTGCATGCTCAGTTGCTCAATCGTGCTGGACTGTTGGTGATTCCATGGATGATAGCCTGCAAGGCTCCTCTATCCATGGTATTCTTCAGGCAAGAATACTGGAGTGGGTTGCCATTTCCTCCTCCAGGGGATCTTGCTGACTCAGGGATTGAATCTGCATCTCCTGCATCTTCTGCATTGGCACTCAGATTCTTTACCTCTGAGCCACTTGGGGAGCCCGTAGCAGATGGTACCATCCCTGATGTCTTATTTTGGATTCATTTCTAACTTACTCATTTCCTTTGTTCCCATGATCCAACAAAATTCTGTTACATGGTTAATTTTATAAAGGTATTGAGGAAATAAGTAAAACCTAATTTCTGTCATTCTAAGAGAATTCAATCTGCCTGAAGAACTTTAGGCAGACTTCAGGTCTACCTAAAGTAAAACTTGTATAAATTAAATCTGGGCTTCCCAGGTGGTGCAGTGGTAAAGAATCCGCCTGCCAATGCAGGAGATGCAAATTTGATCTATAAGTTGGGAAGACCTCCTAGAGGAGAAAATGGCAACCCACTCCAACATTCTTGCCTAGAAAATTCCATGGACAGGGAAGCCTGGCAGAAGAATTGGACATGACTGAGTGACCGAGCACCCTTGCATACATAACTAATTAAAGATAATAGGAAAAAGCCCAACAATTTAAAAATAAATTTTCTCTAAAGTCGTTGATCTCTTTTTCACATACACAATTAAGGCTCCCAACTAAATGCTAATTTGCCTGCCTTATTTAGGTATAACTCTAATTCTGACGTACTTATATTCTAGGTTTGGGTTGGCACCATTGGGTCAGGGCCCAAGGGTCGCAATCTCTGTGCTACCTTCCAGCACACGGAAACATTTGAATTCCAGGATGAAGTGGGAGCACTTTTGTTATCTGTGTGCCAGACTGTTAGCCAAGGAATTTTGTGTTTCCTGCCATCTTACAAGGTAAGGGAATATTTTTGTTTACTTTTGCCTTTGAATAATCATATGGCATTATCATGATACGCTTCCTAGGATCAGATGCAACAGAGTAATTACAGTTTTTTAAGCATCATGTATTATTTTGCTTTTTATTGGTTAAGATACTGCCTGCTTATTCTGTCACTGTTTTACTTGGAAGTCCAAAAGACTGAAGGTATTCAAGCATTTTAGTGGGCTATTTTGTATATGTGATTTTTATTCTTGGGGCAAGTTGATATTATCTGATTAAAGGAAAAAGGATCATTATTTTTCACTTTGATAGACTAGACTATTTGAAAATTTCAAAATATGAATTTAAAATATGATTTTCTTTAATGCCCATCTTTTTGCTTCATGTATTTGGCTAGGAAAAAAACTTTTTCTTGTTTTTAGAGTCGTTCTGAGTTTTAATATTTTCAGGAGTTAAATTGAGTTATATAGTATATTTTAGTCCTCCTAATACTCAAAGCATTAAAACCACATATAATTCCTGAGAGTAGTATCATATTTTATGAAAATCTAAGCTAAATTTCAGTGTAGAGGTGGTATTCCCTTTTCTTTTTTCATAGGAGGTTATTATATATATAAGGATCATAGTGTAATGTATTTGAATGACAATATTGATACCTTTGGCTCTTGTGTTGTCTTTCCCTCTGTATACATACTGCTATGGTCTGATGTGTCCCTCCAGATTTTATATGTTGAAATTCGAGCCCCAAGAGATAATGACATTTGGAAGTGGAATCTTTGAGAGATGCTTTAGGCATGGTGATGTAGTCCTCATGAATAGAATTAATGACTTAAAAAGAAGCTCCAGAGAGATTTCTTGTCCTTTTTACCATGTGAGGTCACAGTGAGAAGGTGCCACTGTGAACCAGGAAGAGGGCCTTCACCAAACATCACTGTGCTGGTGCCTTGATTTTGTACTTTACACCAATCAGAACTGTGATAAATTCTCTTGTTTATAAGCCACTCAGTTCCTGACGTTTTGTTATAGTAGCTGGAATGGGACTAAGACACATACTTTGTGTACAAAGGTCCTGTAAATACTGTAGATAAACTGAAGGAATTACTCTCAGGAGAAATTTAATCAGATAGGTTTCTTTTTTTTTTTTTCAAGAATATCTAAAAATGAAACGGACATAAACATATTGAAAATTCTTATTACAAAGCAATATTTATTACAGAGTGAACATCTATCCCAGAAGTTATGTGAGGGAAAACTAATAATTAAGCCTGGAACTAAGGAGAAGCAAGCACATTAAGAAACCTTTTAAATTAACACAACAATGTAAATCAACTATACTTTAATAAAATTTTAGAGAAATAAAACTTTTTTATATTTACCAGTCACAATCACAAAAATTGAGCCTGGAAATCCCCAGTTAAGTAAATGAACAATTTCACTTTTTGTTAGTCTTCAACAAAGTTTTTAATTACTGATTCAATTTTACTAGCTTTTAACATCTTCAGATTTTCTGTTTCTTCTTGATTCAGTTTGTAGATTGTTTGTTTCTTGGAATTCATCCATTTTATCTAGGTTATCCAATTTCTTACCTTATGTTAGTTTTAGGTTGTTTGCTTTCCTTTTTCGCATTCCTTAAGGTGTAATATTAGGTTTACTGGTTTAAAATCTTTGTTTTTTTCAAGTGTGTGATTATAGCTATAAATTTTCCTCTTAGGAGTGCTTTCTTTGTGTCCATGTTTATTTTATGTTTTCATGTTCATATTTGTAAGATATTTTCTAGTTTCTCTTGTGAGTTCCTCTTTGACCTATTGATTGTTTAAAAATTGTGTTGTTTGAGTTCCTTAGATTTGTGAATTTTCTACCTTTCTTTCTATTATTTATTACTATTTTTAGTCCATTGTGATTAGAAAAGATATTTTATATGATTTCAGTCTTTTAAATTTTATTATGACTTGTTTTGTGGACTAGTATGTGGTCTTTCCTGGAAAATACACCATGTGCATTTGGAGAAAATGTGTATTCTGTTATTGGGTGGTGTTCTATATATGTCTGTTAGGTCCAGTTGGTTTACAGTGGACTGATTCTCTATTTCATTATTTATCTCTGTCCAGTTCATATTCATTATTGGAAGTGAGATATTGAAATCTGTTATTGTAGAATTATCAGTTTCTCCCTTCAGCTCTTTCATTGTTTGCTTCATATGTTTTGGGAGCTCTGGGTTTGGTTTTTGTTTACAATTGTTATATGTTCTTCATGAATTGACCCTTTTATCAATATGTAATATCCTTTGTCTCATAACATCTTTTGATTTATTTGTCTCATACTAGTAATGGCATCCTAACTTTCTTTTGGTTATTATTTGTATGGAATCTCTCTTTCCATCCTTTCATTTTTGACCTTCACATCTTTAAAGTGAATCTCTTTCTGTTTTGAAGTATAATTTATAGTATTATGTTAGTTTTAGGTATATAGCACAGTGGGTTTTTTGCAAATTATATTCCATTTTAAGTTATTACAAGATGCTGGGTATAATTCCTAGTTCTATGCAGTAAATTCTTGTTGCTTGTCCATTTTATCTATAGTGGTGTGAACCTGTCAATAAACTCAATTTATTGCTATCAACATATAGTTGGATCATCTATTTTTATAATACATTCTGCTATATCTGCTTTTGGATTGGAGAGTTTAATTCACTTACTTTTAAATTAATAAATGATAAGAAAAGACTTTTTTTCTGGCTGTGGAGCTGACTGTGGCTCAGGTCATGAACTCGTTATTGACAAATTCAGACATAAATTGAAAGTAGGGAAAACCACTAGATATTAATGTATGACCTAAATCAAATCCCTTACAATTATACAGTGGAAGTAACAAATAGATTCAAGGGATTAGATCTGATAGACAGAGTGCCTGAAGAACTATGAATGGAGGTTCGTGACATTGTACAAGAGGCAGTGATCAAGACCACCCCCATGAAAAAGAAATGCAAAAACAAAATGGTTTTTTTACAAATAGCTATGAAGAGAAACTGAAAGGCAAAGGACAAAAGAAAAGATATACCCATTTGAATGCAGAGTTCCAAAGGATAGCAAGGAGAGATAAGAAAGCCTTCCTCATTGAATCAGTTCTAATGAGATGGATGAAACTGGAGCCCATTATACAGAGTGAAGTAAGCCAGAAAGATAAAGAACACTACAGCATACTAATACATATATATGGAATTTAGAAAGATGGTAATGATAACGCTATATGCAAAACAGAAAAAGAGACACAGATGTACAGAACAGACTTTTGGACTCTGTGGGAGAAGGCGAGGGTGGGATGTTTTGAGAGAACAGCATGTATATTATCTATAGTGAAACAGATCACCAGCCCAGGTGGGATGCATGAGACAAGTGCTCGGGCCTGGTGCACTGGGAAGACCCAGAATAATCGGGTGGAGAGGGAGGTGGGAGGGGGGATCGGGATGGGGAATACATGTAACTCCATGGCTGATTCATGTCAATGTATGACAAAACCCACTGCAATGTTGTGAAGTAATTAGCCTCCAACTAATAAAAATAAATGAAAAAAAAAAAAAAAAAAGAAAGCCTTCCTCAGTGATCATTGCAAAGAAATAGAGGAGAACAATAGATGGGGAAAGACTAGCGATCTCTTCAAGGAAATTAGAGATACCAAGAGAACTTTTCTTGCAAAGATTGGCACAATAATGGACAGAAATGGTATGGACCTAACAGAAGCAGAAGATATTAAGAAGAGGTGGCAAGAATACTCAGAAGAACTATACAAAAAAGATCTTCACGACTTAGATAATCACAATGGTATGATCACTCACCTAGAGCCAGACATCCTGGAATGTGAAGTCAACTGGGCCTTAGGAAGCATCACTATGAACAAAGCTAGTGGAGGTGATAGAATTCCAGTTGAGCTATTTCAAACCCTGAAAGATGATGCTGTGAACGTGCTGCACTCAATATGCCAGCAAATTTGGAAAACTCAGCAGTGGCCACAGGACTGGAAAAGATAAGTTTTCATTCCAATCCCAAAGAATGCTCAAACTACTGCACAATTGTACTCATCTCACAGGCTAGTGAAGTAATGCTCAAAATTCTCCAGGCCAGGCTTCAACAACATGTGAACCATGAACTTCTCGATGTTCAAGCTGGATTTAGAAAAGGCAGAGGAACCACAGGTCAAATTGCCAACATCCTCTGGATCATCGAAAAAGCAAGAGAGTTCCTGAAAAACATCTATTTCTGCTTTATTGACTATGCCAAAGCCTTTGACTGTGTGGATCACAGCAAACTGTGGAAAATTCTTAAAGAGATGGGAATACCAGACCACCTGACCTGCCTCCTAAGAAATCTGTATGCAGATGGCTAACAAACACATGAAAAGATGCTCAACATCACTCATTATCAGAGAAATGCAAATCAAAACCACAATGAGGTACCATTACACGCCAGTCAGGATGGCTGCTATCCAAAAGTCTACAAGCAATAAATGCTGGAGAGGGTGTGGAGAAAAGGGAACCCTCTTACACTGTTGGTGGGAATGCAAATTAGTACAGCCACTATGGAAAACAGTGTGGAGATTTCTTAAAAAGCTGGAAATAGAACTGCCATATGACCCAGAAATCCCACTTCTGGGCATACACACCGAGGAAACCAGATCTGAAAGAGACACGTGCACCCCAATGTTCATCGCCGCACTGTTTATAATATCCAGGACATGGAAGCAACCTAGATGCCCATCAGCAGACAAATGGATGAGGAAGCTGTGGTACATATACACCATGGAATATTACTCAGCCATTAAAAATAATTCATTTGAATCAGTTCTAATGAGATGGATGAAACTGGAGCCCATTATACAGAGCGAAGTAAGCCAGAAAGATAAAGACCATTACAGTATACTAACACATATATATGGAATTTAGAAAGATGGTAACGATAACCCTATATGCAAAACAGAAAAAGAGACTCAGATGTATAGAACAGACTTGTGGACTCTGGGA